CCTGGATTACGTTGGGTTACCGTCGTTTGGGGCAATCCGATGGCCCGTGCCAAGGGTTGGGGAGAGGTAGAGCACCCCTTCCCTCCTGTATTCCTAGGCCAATGACCTGGATTACGTTGGGTTACCGTCGTTTGGGGCAATCAAGTCCCCGGAACCCAAGTGATGGAATCCATCCGGATCGGACCCCGGATGGGTTTGATCGAACCCATTCGGATGGAACCCATCCGGATCCGGATCTGGATCGATCGAACCCATTCGGATCCGAGTCGATCGAACCCATCCTTATCGAGCCGATCCGGATCCGGATCGATCGAACCCGTGTGGATCAAACCCATCCGGATCCGGATCAATTGAACCCATCCGGATCCGGATCGATCGAACCCATCCGGATCCGAGTCGATCGAACCCATTCGGATAGAACCCATCCCTATCGAGCCCATCCGGATCCGAGTCGATCGAACCCATTCGGATCGAACCCACCCGGGTCCGGATCGATCGAATCCGTCCGGATCCGGATCAAATGAACCCTTTCGGACCCAAGCCCATCCGGATCCGGATCGATCGAACCCATCCGGATCCGAGCCGATCGAACCCATCCGGATCCGAGTCGATCGAACCCATCCGGATCCGGATCGATCGAACCCATCCGGATCCGGTTCGATCGAACCCATTCGGATGGAATCGATCCGGATCCGAGTCGATCGAACCAATCCGGATCCGAGTCGATCGAACCCATTCGGATCGAACCCATCCGGATCCGAGTCGATCGAACCCATTCGGATCGAACCCATCCTTATCGAACCCATCCGGATCCGGATCGAACCCATCCGGATCCGGTTCGATCGAACCGATTCGGATGGAATCGATCCGGATCCGAGTCGGTCGAACCCATTTGGATCGAACCCACCCGGGTGCGGATCGATCGAACCCATCCGGATCCGGTTCGATCGAACCCATTCGGATGGAATCGATCCGGATCCGAGTCGATCGAACCAATCCGGATCCGAGTCGATCGAACCCATTCGTATCGAACCCATCCGGATCCGAGTCGATCGAACCCATCCTTATCGAACCCATCCGGATCCGGATCGATCGAACCCATCCGGATCCGGTTCGATCGAACCGATTCGGATGGAATCGATCCGGATCCGAGTCGATCGAACCCATTTGGATCGAACCCATCCGGATCCGGATTCACCGGCCCCATTCGTATCGAACCCATTCGGGTCCGGATCGATCGAACCATCAAGGTCAAAGCCTAGGCAGGGTATTCCTATGCCAATGGCCTGCATTGCGTTGGGTTACGATTGTTTGGGGCAATCAAGAACCGAAACCCAAGTGATGGGGAGTGGTAGAATGCCCCATCCCTAGAGTATTCCTAGGCCTATGACCTGGATTACGTTGGGTTACCGTCGTTTGGGGCAATCCGAAAACACATGGCCGAATGATGGGGAGAGGAAAAATACCACTTCCCTAGGGTATTCCTAGGCCTATGACCTGGATTACGTTGGGTTACCGTCGTTTGGGGCAATCCGAAAACACATGGCCGAATGATGGGGAGAGGAAAAATACCACTTCCCTAGGGTATTCCTAGGCCTATGACCTGGATTACGTTGGGTTACCGTCGTTTGGGGCAATCCGAAAAAATATGGCCGAATGATGGGGAGAGGAAAAATGCCACTTCCCTAGGGTATTCCTAGGCCTATGACCTGGATTACGTTGGGTTACCGTCGTTTGGGGCAATCCGAAAACACATGGCCGAATGATGGGGAGAGGAAAAATACCACTTCCCTAGGGTATTCCTAGGCCTATGGCCTGGATTACGTTGGGTTACCGTCGTTTGGGGCAATCCGAAAACATATGGCCAAATGATGGGGAGAGGAAAAATACCACTTCCCTAGGGTATTCCTAGGCCTATGACCTGGATTATGTTGGGTTACCGTCGTTTGGGGCAATCCGAAAACACATGGCCGAATGATGGGGAGAGGAAAAATACCCCTTTGCTGGGGTATTAATAGGCCTATGGCATGGATTACGTTGGGTTGCCATCGTTTGGGGCAACCTGTTTATGCGTTCATGGGATGCCAAGATTGACCCTTGGGACCCCCCAGCCGGGTCATTTGATCCCAAGGGCGGATTTGAACCGGCCCATGGGTTCATCCAATTCAAGAGCCCATCCCCGCTCGGCCATTCTGACCCCCCCAGCCGGTTCATTTGACCCCAAGGGCGGATTTGAACCGGCCCATGGGCTCATCCAACCCTTGGGCCCATCCCCCCTCGGTTTTTTTACCCCCCACCCGGTCCATTGGACCCCTAGGGCGGATCTGAACCGGCCCATGGGCTCATCCAACCCAAGATCCCATCCCCCCTCGGTTATTTGACCCCCCAGCCGGTCCATTGGACCCCAGGGGCGGATTTGAACCGGCCCATGGGTTCATCCAACCCAGGAGGATCCCATCCCCCCTCGGTTATTTGACCCCCCACCCGGTTCATTCGACCCCAAGGGCGGATTTGAACCGGCCCATGGGTTCATCCAATTCAAGAGCCCATCCCCCCTCGGTTTCTTTTACCCCCCAGCCGGTTCATTTGACCCCAAGGGCGGATTAGAACCGGCCCATGGGTTCATCCATCCCTTGGGACCACCCCCCCTCGGTTTTTTTTTACCCCCCGCCCGGTCCATTGGACCCCAGGGGCGGGTTTGAACCGGCCCATGGGTTCATCCAACCCAGGATCCCATCCCCCCTCGGTTATTTGACCCCCCCGCCGGTTCATTTGACCCCAAGGGCGGATTTGAACCGGCCCATGGTTTCATCCGACCCAAGAGCCCATTCCCCCTCTGTAATTCGACCCCCCAGCCGGTTCATTCGACCCCAAGGGCGGATTTGAACCGGCCCATGGGTTCATCCAATTCAAGAGCCCATCCCCGCTCGGCCATTCTGACCCCCCCAGCCGGTTCATTTGACCCCAAGGGCGGATTTGAACCGGCCCATGGGCTCATCCAACCCTTGGGCCCATCCCCCCTCGGTTTTTTTACCCCCCACCCGGTCCATTGGACCCCTAGGGCGGATTTGAACCGGCCCATGGGCTCATCCAACCCAAGATCCCATCCCCCCTCGGTTATTTGACCCCCCAGCCGGTCCATTGGACCCCAGGGGCGGATTTGAACCGGCCCATGGGTTCATCCAACCCAGGAGGATCCCATCCCCCCTCGGTTATTTGACCCCCCACCCGGTTCATTCGACCCCAAGGGCGGATTTGAACCGGCCCATGGGTTCATCCAATTCAAGAGCCCATCCCCCCTCGGTTTCTTTTACCCCCCAGCCGGTTCATTTGACCCCAAGGGCGGATTAGAACCGGCCCATGGGTTCATCCATCCCTTGGGACCACCCCCCCTCGGTTTTTTTTTACCCCCCGCCCGGTCCATTGGACCCCAGGGGCGGGTTTGAACCGGCCCATGGGTTCATCCAACCCAGGATCCCATCCCCCCTCGGTTATTTGA